GCACAAGGCAGGGCTCTGGAAGGGCTGGCACAAAGCTGGGCCACCAAACAGGAATGCAAGGCTGAGCTGCCCCCTGGAGCAATCAATCCCAGCCAGGGTCTGGGGAGTCACTGTTCTCAGAAGTTTTATGGTAAAATGAAACCAAATACACACCCCCAAAGTAACAGCAAAACTCAACTTAAAAAATGTTAGGGCAGGACCAGTTATTGCTGGACTCCCATGTAGTCGACCGCAGCTCGAGTCCCAGACCCGGTGGCTTAAACTCACACCAGGAGCATGTGCGTGCGTGCCCAGGATCCCGAGAGGAGAATGGAGGAGAAGGAATTGCGATGTGGCCATCCCCCCTGGGGGGTGATTTCTCACTTTCTGTCTCTCTGTCTCTCTGTCTTTCAGGTGAGCTCACGTGCCCTATAGCAAAAAACCTCTCAAAAACAAACAAACAAACAAACAAACAAACGTTAGGGCGTGGATGGTGGCACAGTCACCATAAAATGTGATGCTGTGGGGCAGACGTGGGAAGTCTGGGAAGGCCACCAGTTTGCATCCGGAGGCCTCGCTGAGTATGCCAGGCATGTGTGTGACCAGGATCCAGGCTGTCTGAAGCAGGGGAGTCATGGTGCTAAGGCCCTATTGGTTGGGAGTGCTACATCTCTATCTCTGCTCCTCTCACTGCCCCCACCCCCAACTCATGGAATAAATAAACTTTTTAAAAAAATAGCTGCCTTGACCAGACAAAGGTCCAGCAGAAGGTGACCAGTTGTCCCAAGGAGTGTCTGGCACACAGGACTTTCAGGCTAAAACCAGGAAACACGCTGGTTACCTTAAGCCTCAGGGCAGCGGCAGCAGCTGTGGGATGAAGAGAGAGGCCTGCTGGCCACGTGGAGGACACTCAGCAAGTCCTGTAGGTGTTTCTAGTCCTTCTTCCACAGGTGACTCCGCAGAGTCACAGATTGATGACACCTCCCCTCTTCTCCCTCTACTGCAGACACACAGTCTGACGCCCCCTCTCCTGTGGACCAGGGGCTCTCCTGCCTGCTCCTTCCCTGCTCTGTCCAAGCCACTCCTCCCCTCCAGGCCTGCCCAGCCTCCCTCTGCTCCTGCCTGTTACAGTCGACCTGGGAATGCCTTCATGTCTTCCCAGATCCTCCCTCCAAGCTCCTTTTGGAATGAAACATCCCCTCCTCGAGAGCCCCCTTTCTCCCCAAGAATGGCTGCACTGTAGGCTGCTCTGTCAGGATGAGGTCCTCGAGCAGGAATCCACACCAGCCCAGTGTCCACACGTGCTTCCACTGATGGGAGCCTATGTCTCTTCCCCACTGAGAGGTGGGTGTACTCCATAAACCAATTTCATAGAAGAAACCACGGCTTAAGTTCACCGCCCTCTTAAAACCATGATGAGGAGGTGCAGGGCCAACACGCCAAGCTAGGTTCATGGACTCTGCTTCCTGCACCCAGTCCCTGGTCTCTTCAGGCACCATCCCTGCCTGGTGAGGACGAGTCTCTGTGCATCTCTGTGTCCCTGCAGCACGCCCAGCAAGGGGCTGGATGCAGAGCAGGTACCGCCAGGTGACAGAGAGTAGCAGGGACTCAAGGCCCATTGGGGGAATGAGTAGGGCAAGGCTGGCACATGGCTGGACCAAGTGTACCCAGAGAGATGGCAGGAAAGGACACTCATGAGAGTACCTTCTGTGAAAGACGGTTCCCTGGACCATGAGCAGCAGGACGGCAGGGGCCACTCTTGCTAACTGTTGGCATCCCAGCCCCTGGTGTGGTGCCCCATGCCTGAGCCCAACGCACACCTGTCGAGTGACAACAGAGCCTTCACAGCACTGGAGCCGGGTGCCCTCCGGGAGAGGCCAGTCCCTTCAGGATGATACAACAGGCATTTGTATTCCATGGCTGGCAGGTGGTGGACGTGGCCACCACGCTGGTGCTTACTGGTCTCCAGTATGCAGGGTTCTGGGCCGAGCCGAGGAGGACTTGGGGAACGTACAAAGCACGTGCTCTGGCCGGCCCAATCTTCCTTGCACACTCCTAGGCAAGCCGTGGCTGTGGGGCGCACCCCCCGTCTTCCCTGCCCAGGGTCCGTATCCCTGCCTTGGGCTTACAGTCCCTCTGCCTGAATATTCCCTTGGGAAACCACCACATCCTTAGTCTCTATCTGTGTACCCAACTTCAGGGAGGGTGGCACGGCCCAGGCCTGACCAGGTAGCAGTGTACCTCGTAGGCCACGATGACCGTGCAAGGATGGGCGTGCGGCCCAAGCTAGCCCAACAGAGGTCAGCCCTGGGACCTTTGCTGCAAAGAGAAGCTATCCTTGTAGGGAGATTCCTGACTGCATGGGTGATGGAACCTGGAGCCACAGGGACTGAGCCAGCTGAGGAAGCAGGCAATCAGGAGAAATCAGGAGAGAGAGACAGAGACAGAGAGACAGAAATCCCACACACTCGATCTGAGAACACGGACACCCAGCAGGGCAGCTGAGAGGACGGCCTGACGCAAGAGCCGTAAGATGCCACCCCTCCCATTTCTTGTGTTACTCAAGCCGTTTTAGGTCGCATTTCTGCTCCTTGAAACTGAAAGGCCCAGTCATACAATCAAACCACATCTCTGCTCTCAGCTACAGCACCCTCGGGCCTGAGCTCCATTTGGGGCCTTCCTCCCCTCTACCCTCACTGAGCCCTCACTGGCCTTCCCCCTTCTCTGCAGCCGCAGCCTGGCTTCAGGCCCTCGTGGGGGTTTGGGGCTTGAATTATCTCAAGAGGCCCCCACTGGCCTCTGGTCTGGCAGCTCCCCCCAACACCCACCCTCAATACTGTCAACAATAGTTACCTCTCTGAAACAGACACTGCAGGGCCAGGTCACTTTCCTGCTCAGGATCCCGATAGGCTCCTCCGTGCTAGGGTTCTCTAAAGGGTGAGGCCTACCCCCCTGCAGTGGGGAGAGCTGGCTTTGGTGGTGCCTGGGTCACCCAAACCTGCAGCAGGAGGCTGAGGCCCCTCTCGCTTTCCTTACAAACCTCCCAGTGACTGCAGAGAAGGCTCAGCGGGCACAGCCAGGACTCAGCTGCCCCTCCGCACTTGTTTCTCTCCCTTCTAACAAAAGAGAGGAGGCCTCGAGCTTGGGGCTGTCCGTGGGAGGCCACAATTACAACCCACGAGATTTAGCTTTACACCGCTACCTTCTACTTATCACCATGATAACGCCGTTTCACTTACGGCAGTTTTACAAAGCTTTCTTTGGAAACACTTTGTGTAAATACAAACAGGAGTCTACTGAAACCAAAAAATTAGACAAACGGGAGTCCTTGCAGAGGGTGTACGTGGGTCATAGGCTGACAGTGACCTGCTCCAGTGGGCACACAGGCCTTCACAGCCTGCCCCTCAGACACCCCTAAGCCCACTTAGGACACACAACCACCAAGATGACTCTCAGAGAGTCATACCTCTGGGCCTTCGACCACACTGTTCCTTCTGCCTGAACTCCCTCTTCCTACAATCTCCTAACTGACCTGGGAGGATCTGATGTATTCTTAAAGACCCAGGCCAGTGGTACTGTTCCCTGCAGCGGTGTGCTAGCTAACTACTCGGGATCTCCAGAACACCTGGCAAAGTCTGTGTTCTCTTGGGCCACTCTCTGTGGGCTGTTGACAGGATGGCCTTCCCTGTAGGGTTGAGAGATCAGAAGGCCAGAAAGGTGCTTTGCCTCAGTATTTGGCACAAGGTGAACTGAAGGGACCCTGCTAGGGAAGGTCGCTCCATCAGATACCACCAGGCCTGGGGATAGGATGGACTCCAGGCCCAAAGAGTGGGAGAGAAAGGATTCTCAAGGAAGGGCAGGGAGTGTTCTCCAGGGACAGGGGTCCTCAGGGCAGGAGAGGGAAGGCCAGCATCCTGGGTAGAAGGACCTTGCAGAGACCTGGGCAGAGAGCTTAGCTTCAATATAGTCTGCACTGGAACCATCCAGAACGTTAGCATGATCATTCTGAAGCCCCACTCCAAAGAATTTGACTCAGTAGGTTTGAAATGGGCCCTGAAGTTACTTAAAACAAATGCTTCCGGTGAAGTTGAAGCAGGTAGGAGTCTGAGGGCCATGTGCTGAGAAACACTGGGCCCCAGGATGTCAGGGGAGCATGGCGACAGGTAGGGTCCTGGCAGATAACATGCAGAAATTCACACGAATTGCAAGCATCGCCTAGAACACTGCGTCGCTGACTGGCGACCAAGAGGCTGAAAACACAGCCTAGCAGAGAACAAGCCTGGTCAAGGTTATTTAAAATATGCCCCAAATAATTCAGTGGAGATGTGTTTAATGAAGTAGATCCAGGCATGCGCACAGCATTCTACAGGCCGGAACTTGAATGATCAATCTAAAATATAAAATCTCCTTTTAGAGACCTTATCAACCAGTAAACAGGGAACGAAAGCGCATAGAGATCAGGGCTGAGGCCATTTCTGGCTAAAGAAATGCTCCTTTGTTTGAGTGGCCAGGCAATGAGATTGTCCAGAGATGAAATCGTCCAAAGCAAACAAGTCAGAGAGGTTTCAGCAGAATGTGGTACGAATGGCTGACAGGCATCCATGTAACTTTGTTCCCAGAGCCTTGACTTTGGCCCTATAGCAATCACCTCCTTAGACAGGAATTAAAATAGCAGAATAAAAGCTGTGTGGGGAGCGGGTGGGCGGAGCACAGAAGACCACACGGGAGGCTGTCCCCTTTAGGGAGCTGCCTGCAGAACGATCCAGGCCGAGTCACTCATCAAATGGAGATGGACTTTTATCTGATTAACTGATGGAGAAACATCCTTCTCCCTCTCGCAGCGTTCTGTGGGAAAGGCATTTTGCAGACTGCAGGGAAAAGTTGGGCCTTGGCTCCCCTCCTGCTCGGCCAGTGGAAAATTACAAAGGAGGCAGGGCTGCCCTCGGCTTGCTCACGGATCTCCCTGGGCCCAGGAAAAACAAAGAGAAACCCGAAGATGAAGCGAGGGAGCCTTTACCTACCTGGGGCAGAGAGGAGTCTGGGAGGCAGCGGGGGCGGGGGCCGGCACTGGCAGATGTGTTGGCAGCTGTCGGTCACCTTGGAGCAGGACTTCTGGGGCTCACCATGCGTCACCTGCAGACACGGGCACATGGACCCAAGAAGTGAAGAAGACAGTGAGGCGACTGGAAGCCAAAAATGGGCCCAGCCCACCCCTGTCCCCAGCCACAATGAGTCTTGGGGTTCTTCCCAAGACCAAGGCAGAAACAAGAGACAGAAGTCAGGTGGGTCCAAAGGGAATGACTGTAAGGGGCCGGCCTAGCAGGTTTGGAGAGCAAAGTTTCCTCCCCAGGTCTGCCAGAGACCAGCTACGAGACCCTGGGCAAGGGACCTGGACATTAATGAGAGGGAGACAAGAACTAGAAGGTTAATCGTAGAATCTCCCAGTCGTACAGATGAGGAAACTGGGGCCGAGACTGAGGGGCTGCCCTAGGGTCTCACACCCAGTGGGCGGCAGGACACTGACTCCCCTGCTCTGTAACCCAAGCCCAGCTGCTCCTCCCATGTCCTTGCTATGGCAACAGGCCAAGCCGCCTTCCCTCCTGTCCAGCCAGAGCTCCTGATGGCCTCGTGTCCGCTCTGGGCAAGGTCCCTTATCTTTGGGGAGGAACCGTACCCAGCAAGGCCTCTGCTCCTGTGTCCCATGTGACCAACCCCGCACCCCATGCCACGTCTGAGCTGTCTTGTGGGAAACACAGGCCACCCAGCCACCTCCATGCTCCCAGTAAATCCCGAGTGCCTCCCAGCACCCTAGGGCTTAGGTGGCCCACAGGCCCTGACAGGCGACCCCAGCAGTCTCTCCTGGCCCTGGGCTCTCTCACTCTCCACTCTGCCTATGCACTCCCTTCCGTTCCTGGCCCCCTGCCCTCGTATATGCTGCTCCCAGACCAGAACGTCCTCTGCCCCTACCCCTGCTGTGTCTGCTACTCTGCTACCACCTCAGGGAGGTCTCTGGCCTGCTTAACCAGGTCAGGTCTCCTTTTTAAAATTAGATTAATTTTTTATTTTTATTTATTTTTGTTTTCTTTTTGTAGTTTGCCATAGGGTGTGAGTACTCACAGGAGAGAGACAGAGAGAGAGGTAACATGAGAAATCACCCCCCAGGGGAGATGGCCATGCCACAATCCCTTCTCCTCCATTCTCCTCTTGTGAGTTTGGGCATGCATGCACACATGTCTGGCATGTTTTTCGAGCTGCCTGGTTTGGGACTTAAACTGTGCAGTTGGCCAGGGGGGATCCAGTCGCCTTAATCACCATGCCACTTGGCTGACCCCAGGTCTCCTTCGCATCAGCTCTCCGGGCTCCACTCTCTGGAGCTGGAGTCTACATTCGGGAGACCACCTGCTTCATACCCATCTTCACCATGATGCTGTGGGCTGGTGCTTTCATAAACCAGCACCTAAGGAACTGCCGCACATGTAATACATTTAGTGAATAAATGAATGAAGGAATAGGAAAATCTGGACCAGAAGCCAGTCTTCCTCCATTTGGCCTGGCACATTCCCAACTCGAGGCTCAGCTTCCTCTCTGTAAACCAGGAAGGCGGCAGGGTGAGCTGTGTTTGGCCGCTACTCCCGAGCTCGGCCGCAGCCAGGTTTAAAAATGTTCCTGCTTGAGTCTCACCCACAACCGATTGCATTAGACGGTGGCTGTGAACCTGGGCCTGGGTGTCTTGATTACGTTCCCGGGTTGAATGGCTTTGCAGAGCCAACGTGAGAACCACTGGTTTGGACTGACAGCGGATGAAGCTCCCCACATGGTGCCAGAAATCCTTGAGTCGAGCGTACCGTAACTGTCCCAGGACCCAGGCTGATTTAAAGGCACGAGGGAAGAGTTGGCGGTCACTCCCCACTTCAGCATGGTCACTGTTTCTCTGGCTGTCATCTCTCAATGAGTAGACCCCAGATTCCCAATTTCCCTGCAAGCAGCCCCGTGTGGCCTGCCTATGGAGGCTGATGCAGCCCCTTTGCCTCATGGCAGGGAGAGCCGGCAGGTCTGGGAGGCTCCAGTTGCACTTGGCGGATGCGGTGAGGCTGGGTATGCTCACCAGGAGGACTGATTTACAACCCTCACTTAACATCTGCGAGGCCAAGAGGGTGCTGCTCACCACCGTTTGGTGTTTCTAAAGGACCATTAACTGTTTCAAACCCTGGAGAACAATTTCACCACTGGGAAGAGCATATCCTGGACAGGAAGCCTTTTCTCATAGATTTTGCAGTGATGATCCACTCCTTGCATGCCAGTGGCCTAACCATCCACTTCTGCACTGGTGCAACTGTGGGGTTTGCCATCCTTGAGCCCGCCCCCCACTGGATTCCAGCTCTCTAGGACTTTGGGGCTTCTGGCAGACTCTGTTCTCCCAACAGCTGGCCAGGGAGGCGGCCTCTCCCCTGCACTCTACCAAGTGCACAAACTTCCAGAAAAGCTATCCATCGCCAAAGCATTCACGTCCCCACTCTGCAAGGCGCAATTTATGCGACAGCATTCGAGAAGAGCACGTTTGTTTAACCTGGCCTGACACAATGACCTATTTTTGTGAGTGGATATAAGGGCACCGAGGTATAAGACTGTTTAATGTGATGAAATTATAGACAGGAAAATCAGGGCCAAGTTTCAAGGTAGGAAAGGAAGTGAACCAGCATACTGCATTCAAAAAGACCTCTGGGGCCGGCCAGTGGCATGGTGGTTAAGGTGGCTGGATACCACATGGCTGATTTTGTGATTTGAGTCCCAGATTTGGAGGTTTGAAAAAAAATAAAATGACTTAGGGTGCTGGTGCATGCATGGCCGAGATCCTGAAAGGAAAACTAAAGGAGGGACTGAGCTGTGACTGTCCCCCACAGAGACTTTCTCTCTACTTCCAGCAAGCGCGTGCATCCTCAGGCAAATGAAACAGAAAAACTGGTTCTTGTTCTCTTGCATAGGAAACTCCACAAAGTTTGGGGGGAAATGGGATTAAAGTATGGGTTTATATTGATTTTAAAAAAATGTTTAAATCCATGGGAACCAGCAGTTAGCATAATGCCTATGTCGCTGGACTCCCACATAGTCCTCCACGGTTTGCGTCCCGGACCCGGTGGCTTAAAACTCACGCTGGGTGCATGTGCGTGCGTGTCCAAGATCCTGAGAGGAGAATGGAGGAGAAGGGATTGTTGCGTGACCATCCCCCCTGGGGGGTGATTTCTCGCTTTCTGTCTCTATGTCTCTCTCTGTCTGTCTGTCTGGTGAGCGCACGTGCCCTATAGTGAAAACCTCTCCAAAAAACAAAAACAAAAACGTTTAAATCCATGTCCAATTTTTCCATAATACACTTTTCCCACGAACTTTTTGAAGACCCTGTATGAAGGTCTTCATTTATCACATGGAAGTAGGGTGAGTGCGATGGCTTGATCAACACTCCCCAGAAACGATAACACCTGGCCTGGCTGTTCTCCTTGGGGCCTCCACTGGAGTTTCTTGATAATCTGGTCCAGGACAAGCGACTGTGTTTGTGCCCATGGCTGATTTTCCCACGGTCAGTCTTTCAGACCTTTATCCACCCATCAACTGTTCTTACTCTTTCTTTTTATTTAAGAATTATTTATTTTATTATTTTTTTAATTTGACAGAGAGAGACAAAAGGGAAGGGGAAGTGAGAAAGCAAGCTGCCAAGTCTGGAACTCAAACCGCCATTGGCCCTAAGGGAGTCCAATACCTTAACCACCACACCACCAGCTGGCCCTGTTCTTAGTCTTTCAAACACAGCCTTGTGGAGCTATCCTGAGCCCTGCCACCCCTGAATTAGACCTGCCTGCCCCACGCTGCCCTTCACCTCACAGATGCTCATCTGGACCCAGCCTCCACTGGTGTACAAGGTCTGTCCCCCACACTGCGTTGTCACAGGCAGGGAGGAGAATGCACTTTATTCATCCTGAACAAGTATAGCATGGGCTCTACTTTCACCTTGAGAAGAACTGAGAGAGGTGGATTCTTTGTTTGCTTATTTTTTAAATAGAGAGTTTTGCTATGGGGCGCGTAGACTCGTCAGAGAAACAGAGAGAGACAGAAAGCGAGAAATCACACACACACACACCCTGCCCCCAGGGAGGATGGCCATTCTCCTCTTGGGGTTTTGGGCACTCATGCACACGTGGCCAGCTTGAGTTTTAAGTCACAGGGTCCGGGACTCAAACCTGTGTCAATGATGTTTGAGTCCAGTGACGTGACCATTACGCCATCTGCTGGTCCCAAGAGGTGGATGCTGTTATCTATACTTAACGGTGGCCAGCAGTCTCAGTGAGGCCAGGTAATGTTCTGAAGTTCACAAAGTCTGGCATTCAGCTGGTATTCAGTTAGAAGGTGTGTGGTTCAAGTCCTGGACCTGATGGCTTGTAAAACACACCAGGCATGTGTGTATGCATGCTCAAAATCCTGAGAGGAGAATTGAGGAGAAGGGACTGTGGAGTGGCCATCCCCCTGGAAGGTGACTCACTCATTCACTCACTTCCCTAACTCCTTGTCTCTCTGGCAAGAGCACACTCCCTATGGCAAAAATCTAAAAAAAGAAAAAAAAATGACAAAACATTTAAAAATGTTGCATTTCAGATGAACAACAATTTCTTAGCATAGTATACATAGTATACCTATGTATTAGGTATGTCCTCACTATCATTTGGGACAGTCTTATGCTTTTTAAAGATCTGTTTTATTTGAAATTCAAATTTAACTGAACAGCCTGTATTTTTTTTTTGCTCATTGTGGCAACTCGACCCTCACTGACCTCTTTGCCCCCCATCCCTGAATCCATCCTTCCCGCTGGAGCTAGCCTGAGATTTCCAAATGCCAATCTGAGATCGTGTCATCTCCTGCTTGAAACCCTCCTTGGTTACTCTAGCCCTCGGGATCAAGTCCAAAGGGCCTGAGTGGCTGACGACCGCAGCCTTACCTGGCGCTCCCCTCCCTGGCTTCTTCAGCGCCCAGTTCTCTCCTCCAGCCTTGGGGTTGTTCCCTCTGCCTGGACACCTCACCCTCATCTGCACCCTGAGTCTTCACCTTTCATATCTCAGCCAGAGCGCAACATCTGAGAGGCTTCTCTGACTCCCTTCGCGTCCTCTTGCCTGGAATGAGTTGCTTAATTCTCTCTGGAGGGTCAGACTAGCCATGCCATGA